ATATGTATATATGTTTGTTTGTTTATTGTAACACTGAGGATTAAATTCAGGGTCCTTCTACCACTGAGCTACATTTGCAGCCCACTTTTAAGCAAGGGTCTCCCTAGGCCACCGAGATGCTCAGGTGGAGCTTGCATTTAACACCCTGCTGCCCAGTCTCCCGAGTGCTGAGATTGAAAGCGGGCACCATCGGCCTGGCTCTCTCACTCAGCACTGTTGGCCCCGCTCATGCCCCGCGTTCCCCCAAATGCTTGCCTTTGCTCTTGTGGACCTTTCCTGGTGCAGCAGACCCCACATCACCCTTCCGTGAGATGAGCGAACGCGAGATCCAGCAGACATGAGAGAATGTCGCCAGGTTAATTTTAAACCGTGAGCCCTGAAAACAACTCAGGGGTTTTTGGCAGTTCTAACACGGTGCACATGAGAGTAGAACAGGTCATCCTCCTGATTATCCCGCCCTCTTACGGCCTTGCAGTATCATAAACAACAGCAATCAAATTGCATATACATGTGATTTGCTGCGTCTGAGGGTTCTGCACCCAGGGATTCAACCAAATGTAAACTAAAAGCATTTTAGAGAATTGTATGCTCCCTGAGCGTACACAGATGGATTTTGTTGCAAGTATTTCCTAAACAATTTAATATAACAACTATTTTATATTGCATTTACATCCTTGTAAATGATCTAGAGTTGATTTACAGCCTGAGGGGAGAGGTGCATTCGTGCTTCTTATGTGTAGATAGCGCACCCTTTTATATGCGAGACTAGAGTAGCCACACGTTATGCCAACCCTACAAGGTCCTGGCAGCAAGACCCTTGGGCACTGAGGTAGGAGGTGGAGCAGAGATAACCAAACAGTGGAAAGCCATGGGAGAAAAAGCTGAGAAACCGGACAGAGCAAGGATGACTAAGTCCGAACATCAGGAAAACAGTAGATAAAGGTCAGCATGTCCTACCAAGGTCCCAAGACACACACAGAACCATAAGTCCATGACCCTGGTGTACATCTAGCCTCATTTCCACTGGGGTTTGTATTTCCCCGCCCATCCCAGTGGGCTTTGGGGTCATGACCCTTCCTCTAAAAGCCTTGCATGGTCAAAACTACCTCTCTTGGGAGTACTACTTAGCCGTAAAGAATGAGAAACTAGAGTCATTTATAGCTGAGTCATTTATAGGGTCATTTATAGTAATCTTTTTTTCAGGGAATGCACTGGCAAGTGCACATTGAGGTCATACTCAAGTGAAATTAATAATTTACACACATGTGTAAATATTGAATGTTTCTTTGGTGTGAAAAACTAAAATGTAAATAAGGATCAAAATGCATAATTGATATTGTGTAATAGGAAGAAAAGGTCTAAAAGAGCAGAGGAAGTGGGAGGGGTAGATAAAAGGGGAAAAAGGGAAAATAAAAAATATGTGAAAAGAAAAAACATGGAAACAATGTCTTTGTAAATTGGAGGGGTGGACGGGGTGAAAGAGAGAGATGGGGAAATGGGGAAAAATAACAACCAGGATACATCCTGTAAAGGTACAAGATCCCAATGATGAATGTAACTATACTGTATACTTAAAATGTACCAATAAACTTAATAATAACAAAAAAACTACCTCTCCTGATAGGTGGGTCCAGTCCATGTACCCTGCTGGGCCATGACTGCTGTCCGTTCCAGTTATAGATCCTCCATAAACCCAGGAGCGTAAGAGACCCAGTACCTGTCCCTACCCTGCCATGTGCTGTTTTCATTGGCCTGTTCCTACCCTATGGAGTATTCTGTTGTTTCTTTTGCTTTCAATAAGTCTTACTCATGTCACTCATTTTGAGAGTCTGGCTCAATTCTTTGTTTAGTATACCAAGAACCTTGGAACACTACCCTATTACCTTCCACCAGTGCAGTATATCGGGCAGTACAGTATGTCTGTCTTCCTCAGCTAGACAGAGCAGAAATGAAACTTGCAGCACGAGTATATGCACTGAGCTGTAAAAATGGTGTAGACATTCCTTAATTTCTGGAGTGATTGTAAAAATAAACATTCTATCGTCACAGAAAGGAAATAACCCATAGACATCATAAAAGAATGCTGATTAAACCATTTTTTTTTTAAAAAAGGAAAGATAACCTTTTATTCCCATGACAAAGAAAGGCAATGCCCGACTCTAGAATCTGTTAAATTAATATCATTTCACTGGTGCATCAATAGCTTTGAGTTTTAAAACTGCTTTCGATGGTTTTCGGTCATTTTAGCCTCGTCATCACTGAAAAAATAAATGTGTAATTTTTTTTGCAGGGAATGCACTGGCAGAATGACATTAGAAGTGAAAAGGCGGGGGAAGGGAGGAAGTGAAAGTGTGAAATCAGATTCAAGAGGTTAAAGGTGGTGAGGAGGCCGTGTGAGGACACCTTCTTCAGCGGAGGAAGTGAGTCTGAAAGTCTATCGCATCTGCACAGCATTTGTGAGTAAATCCTTCTGGAACCTGCTCCCTGCAGACCCCTTGGAGCTGTGGATTCAGCAGCAAGCCCTCAGCTCCTCCCCTCTGCCCACTCCAGGTTTTCTTTTCCAAGAAGGCTTTTGTCACTAGGGGACTTTCACACTTCTGAGAATTCTTCTGCCCAGGACTCAGACTGAACTTCCCCTCCATCTTTCCTCAGTCTCGCCGTGGCTGGCATGTGGTGAGATATTCTCTGTAGCTCTGTGAGTCCAGAGTCAGTTTGCTATAGGCAATCTCCATCCATCTATCTACCCATCCTCCCATTGGTTCCAACTCTCTGGAAAGCCCTGGTGGAGGGTAACTTGTACCCCGTGTCTGGAGACTGACTTCCCATCTTTCTTTGCTCCACAGCCCAGCGGGTTGGAGCCATTGGAACATTATAACCTTTTGTCATCTTGTGTTAGGAAGAAAATGCTCCCATCTATAACTTCACTGAAGCCTCAGTTACAATGCAAATAGTCAGTTGAGAGTTATTTCTTAGCCAGAAAATCAGAGGAGCAGGAAGAGATGCTGGTACGTGAGTGACTGTCCTCAGGTGTCTTCTGGAAGGGGAAGGTGAGGCTCAGGCTCCTAAAGGTGGGGCCAGCGACAGAGCCCTGAGCAGAATGTGGATTTGCTATGACCTCCCATTGCGGGGCTGAGCCAGCAGCAGGTGCACAAGGCACAGAGGGCACGCCCAGACCTTCAGCTCTTGTATATTGTCCTTTTCCTTATCCTTCTCTCCCTGCGCTGAGCCATTGGCTTTTAGATCCTCTGTGACCAGCGTAGCCAGAGAGACCAATTGTGCAGCCCCAAGGAGAAACTGAAAAGATGAGCCTCTGTTCCTCCTTCTTTGCCTCAGGACTTCAGGCAAATCATTTTTCTCTTTCTGGGCCTGTTTTCTTTATCAACCATCTGAAGGTACTGAAACCATTATTCAAACTTTGTCCTTCTCCCCAGCAGTAAGATCTAGTTTTCAGGTAAAATGTGACCAGGAATCACAGTGTGACAAGCACAGCCAGCAGATTTTTCCTGCACAGGGAGAGAGCAGAGGGCAGGTCCTTAACCTGCGGCATTCCTGCTAGCGAGGAGGAAGTCCTTCCCCTTGTGCAGACCAGAGGACCCTCCTCAGATTCCCATGACACCCTAAAGGGGGTGTGGAAACCCCCAATTATTTTATCTTCAGGGATCTCTAACATTCTGTAACACCGGCCTGGGACTCAGAAGAGACCACCTCAGGAAAATCCTCGATCAAAAAGAAAGCAAGTAACTTTGACTCTATGACCATTACAGAGTTTGGAGTGAGCAAAAGGCCCCGGGCTTGTGGCCTTTAGAGCACTTGGGCTGCTGGCCTCAAAAAGCATTGATAAGAACACCATCCATGGCAGTGTTCTGGGAAGGTGACCTGAGTTCCCCTGTGAGAAAAAGTGTGGAGCAATTCAGAGAGAGAAGGGGGGGTGGGAAAGGG